GTTGGCTTTTCATGGTGTATATCACACTGAGAAATGGATTACATGATCCGTAGCTTTAACTACCTTGCATTAGTTGATCGTGTACTATGGATGTGTATTACACAGTGTATGAATCATAGGGGAGCTAGAATATGTGTGACAGATAATTTAAACATGAAATTGGTGATGCCTGGGAACAGGTAGAAATAGAGTCAGAGAAATATAGGCAAAGTGAATGAATGGGAGAGCCCAGGTATTTGCTGCTTGCTTAACACAAACTTATTAGTAAAGTGTGGTGTTCAGAAAGAGTGCTATTTCACCATTCAAGGAGATGATTTTTCTTCATACTACTCTGATCCTCCAATTGCTGCTTTGTCCCTTCTATAATCAGACCCTTTCAGTTTACAAATGGACATTTGGTGGCAAAGGTGATTTATTTCTATGAAGTCTTACTCTACCTCTAAGATGAAAGAAGATCATAAACTTAATTTGCCCAAATCCTGATGCACAGTGGGGAGTCAGAAAGCCTAGAGTCTAGCTTACTTCCTGTTAACCAACCTGCTTTGAGAGCTAGGCCGTTATTTAGCTTGTATCTCAAATTTCCTCATCTGAAAAGTAGGATAATTAACAACTGATCTTCCTAATTCATTGAGTAAAAATCTCATGAGATCTTATATTTGCTCTAACTAGGGCATTTGAAGGGCACAAGGTAGACACCCACATAGATCCTGCCAGGAAAAGGTTGTCTGTTTTCAGGAGAGACATAGATAGGAAGTAGAATGGTGAGGAGCATTCTTGAAACAACCAAAGCTCATCTGCATTTCAAAAGTCATGCCATCTTATACTCCTGGCATCTCTCATTCTTTACACAAGACTGGTCCATTCTTGTTCAAACTGTGGCTTCCTAATGGGTCTTCCTGAATGGGCCCACAGTGGCCACTCTGGGCTGAAACTGTCTTATGACTTTAGAGGTCAGCTACTATAGGAAGTCACAAATGTCACTACTGCTCTCCAGACACATCAGGCTTATTCCCATATGAGGGCCTTTACATTTGTACTTCCTTCTTCAGATATTTTGTCCTAACACTTCACAGGACTTGTTCCCTTACTGTGGCATTTAAATCACTCTTCGGATGTCTCTTTTTTAAATTTGTTTTAATTTGACAGTACAATGATCTTGACATATACATTTTAATCAGATGGGATATAATTTCTCATTTTTCTGAGTGTACAGGTTGCAGAATTACATTAGTCATGCAGTCACATATATACCCACAGCAATAATAATGTCTATTTCATTCGGCTGTCCTTCCATTCCCCACCAGATGTCCCTTTTTAATGAGACCTCCCGTAGCCACTCCACTTAGTGCTATCCACTCTAGTATTCCTTTTCCTTTATTCACTTTTATTTTATGAACATTGCCTGTCTCTTTCTGACATACATTTATTTTTATCTTTTTCACTCTTATATATCAAGTCAATGATGTCAGAAACTTTTATTATTTTTAACAACTATATCTCTTGCTTAACATAATGACTCACATCTAAGAGGTACTCAACTAATATTGGAGAATGTATATTTAGTGAATGAGTGAATGAATGTGCGGCTGTTCCTGATTTGTGATTCCAAATTTCTAAGAGGAGAATTTAATGTATTCATTTCATATTTTTCAAAAGAGAATACTCTAATCAATTTCTGGCTGACCTGTGAGTTGTCATCCATGGCCAGTTGCCCATTCCTTGGTCTGATTAGACAGGAATGAGATGGGGCCACTTCATGTGGCAGAGCACAGGCACATAGAGCACTAGGGCTAAAGGGAGGCGGATCCCTTAAGGAGGACCTTGAATGGCCCAGCCCGGATGGTTCTGAGAGTGCCAGCTTTGCTCTGGCAGAAAGAGAGAGGCCATATGCCTTTGACTAAGAATCACAAGGTTGGAAATTAGGTTGCCTGTTCCATGTACCAACTCCCCATTCTCTTACAACTTTTCTTAATATTAGTTTCTTATTTGCTCTGCATTTTATATTAAATTTCTATGTGTAACTAATAATACTGATAGTTAATATTTTCTATATAGCTTAACCTTGGGAATCCCCACAGCTATCCTCTGAGGTAGGTACTATGATTCTCTTCATTTTGTGTATGAAGAAATGTGAAAACAGAGAAAATATGTTGCCTGGGGTCATTTGGAGAGTGATTAACACAACCAGGATTTGAACCCAAGGACGTCTGGTTCTGTAGCTTCATCTAACAAGACTATTTTTATCCATTCAGTCCACAAGCACTTGATAGGAAGGCAATATTTTCCTAGAAATAAACATTCCCATGAGGTAAACACATATAAATATGTTTTCAAAATGACAAGATATTATGTACAAACTATGCTTATTAAATACACATTTAAAATACATTAAATATACATTTGGTTCTGTCAGTTTCACAGACCTAAGATCTAGTACTCTCCAATTTTGCCTCTCTTTTTATGGATGTGCACTGGATATTACTTAATTTGGGGGCCCAGAATGGCAGAATTGTCAATTAAGAAAGTCACCAATTTTTATAGCAAGCAAATATGAAGACCCTAAAATACTGATTGGTCCCACATTATACTTTCTTTCTGGATATTAGCCATACTGTTTAATGACAAACATAAAAAAATTGTGTGAGAAATAGTCCACACTATTCCTTCTTTTTTCTTTTGCTGTCTTGGAGATTGAACCTAGGACATCATAACATACCATGCAAACATTCTACCACTAAGCTTGACCTCAGACCCTTGTTTGAGTTTTTTGAGTTATGCTTACAATAATAATATCAACAGATAAGGTGTAGGATAGATGTTTGAAAAGGGAAGAATTTATCCATCACCTTTTCTTTATTTTTTCCTTTTGGTACTGCTGCTTGAACCCAGAGGTGCTTTACCACTAGCTGCACCCCCAGCCCTTTTTTAAAACTTTTTTTTTTGTTTTTTCAAGGCAGGGTTTCGCTAAGTTGGTAGGGCCTTGCTAAGTTGCTGAAGCTGGCCTTGAACTTACAAGCCTCCTGTCTCAGCCTCTCGAGTTGCTAGGATTACAGATATGTACCACCACACCTACCTTTGTCTTAGCACCTACCATATGAAGGCACCATAGCAAACACAGAGATACACATGGTATATAAAACATTCTAAATTCATGCTTATGAGACTTCTTTCAGAATCACAGAAAAAAAACTTTAAAAGTCAACATGTGACTGACCCAAAACCTTTGTAACATCATGTAGTGCTGGAAAGAAGCCAATAGTTCCATCCCTTGAACCTGGAGGGCTTTCAGTCACTAAGTAGTATGTCCTTATGGGCATTTTCCTGTTAAAGAAGACTTGTGTATTCTCACTGCATTAAACTGAAGCAGGTAAGTATTTATCCTGTGTTTCTTAGGAAAGGCCTTATAGGGATGAAAAAATAGTCATATTTATAAATGCTAATCTATATTGTACTTCTATTATTTTCTACTTTTAATAGCATATAGGTTCTGTTGGCTCTAGTTTTTATTTCTTCTTGCACATGTGCTTTGTACAGAAGTCCATCATTTGCTGTATAGAGTCTTGATTTCTATTCATCTGGTGAAGCTTTTCAAGGTCATCCTGGCCTCATATCCATCACTCATGTGTGCCTCCCCGATTTCCTTTGTCAGTAGTACATATCAAGATGATTAATGGTTCAATGTTCATATTCAGAAATCTGACTAGATAACTGTCGTTTTATTTGTTGGAATTTATAATTCAAAAAAACATTGATGAAGTTGTTCAAGAAAAGAGATCAATACAAGTCAGTTTTACTTATTATGAACGACAAAGCTTGGTAATTTGTTAGTTTAAATAGGCTCTGTACCTGCATACTCCCTGGGAATGAGCTAGGGGATTAAGGAAGGGTATCCAGTCTTTTTAAAGTGACTCTACTGCAGAGCTGAGAGGAAATGCTCGAACAGGAAAGACTGAAAACCATCCTGGGCTGGAGGCTGTTTCACTGTCAGAATGAGAATCTATGAGTTTTGTAGGAAGACCTTACTTTTATTCTCTTTTGTCAGGGAATATTAAGTATATACCCACTTTAAAATATTATTTATCCATTATTTTTACTTAATTATTTACCTTAAAAGATGCATTGCTTTTATAAGAATGACAAGGACTTATTATTAAAAATAAAATAGGGACCATCAAATAAATTTTTAAAAATCCCCTGAAATCTACTGTCCAAGATGATTTTGGCCTTAAGAAGAGGTATTAAAGCAATATAAAGGATTAAAAAATATCAAAATAAATTCAAGGTTTTATACAAATTTTGTAAATGGTACAAGGTATGGGTTTTCGTCAGCTTTTTTGCTGCTGTGACAGAGACCTTACAAGAACAATGTAGAGAAGGAAAAGTTTATTGGGGGTCTCACAGTTTCAGAGGTTTCAGTCCATGGGTGGCTGACTCCATAGCTCTGGGCTTGAGGTGAGGCAGAACATCAGGGCAGAAGGGTATGGTGAAAGAAGCAGCTCAGGACATGGCAACAAGAAAGGAGAGAGGGCTCTCCTCACAAGGGACAAAGCATAAACCCCACTAGCACAACTCCAGTATTCTGACTCCTCCAGCCATACCCTGCCTACCTACAGTTACCACCCAGCTAATCCATTCAAATGGAGAGCTAATGCACTGATTAGATTAAGACTCTCATAACCCAATCATTTCACCTCTAAATTTTCTCTCACATGAGCTTTTGGGGGAGACACCTCATATCTAAATTATCACAGTGCATTTCAAGTTGAGAGTTTTATTGTTTGTTTTTCCATAAATTTTGTTTACGTGGCTATTATTTTAGGAGAAATAGCTTATTTGCAATATTACTCTTAAACATATAAATTTCAAGCATATTACTGTTTTATTTTTTAAAAAGTGAAACTATAAAATTATGATAAAATATATTAATATTTTAAAGTGTGTCAGCCGGAAAATAGAAAAGAAAAAAAAAAAGAAAAACCCTAAATCAGGCTGAATAAAATACAAAAGTTACAACATATCAAAAAGACAAGCAAAACATAACTAAATCATGATAAAATTACAAGAGAAAACAAAATGGGAAGAAAGGATAGCATATGACAAAGAGCTAATTTGTAATGTTCTAAAAATGCCTACTGTTAATTAAAAAATCCATAGTATATATTTTCTTAATATGCTAGAAAATTCCATTACAATCAACAAATGGAAAGAATCATATTATCAATAGGCCTGTGAATCTCAGTTGTCTCATATTCCCAGCTATGTGATGCTTAGTCAGTCTGCATGTCGTCTCTCATGGATAGATAAAACCAGAGTATTCCATAGGATTCTGCATTGAAGTCCAAGAGTGTTTTGGAATTTTCGAGATTACAGATACGCAATGTTCTTACCTATACTCTGAGATGCACTGGTAATTTTAGTATGAAAATGAATGATCAATAATTGTTCAAAATATAACTTTTGAATATGCTGCCATGATTGATAGTTACGCCTCGACCACAATGAAACTCAAACTATTATTAAAAAGGACTTTACCCTCTTTCTTAACACTAAATTCAGGCTCCTGGAGATCTTTCATAATTTCTGCTTTGAGATCTGGTGGTGCTGTTGTGTTAAAGTTGCAGGTTTCTGTCAAAAAATCCCACAGCAGGTCTCCATTTTCATTACCATCAATAAAACAGTCAGTAATGTCCATGGTGGACAGAAGGTCATAACACTCATACTTAATCCCCAGGTTGTCCAGCATCTGAGTAAGGTGAGAAGATGTGACATACTGGCAGAGGTCATCTCTGGGTAGGCGGGATCCATACTTTTTCCACAGCTTGTCCCAACCACTGGTCCCTGGATAACAGAATAAAATTCACATGTTCACTTATTCTTTCTTTCATTTACCTCCTGCCAACCAGTACACTAGATGTTTGGGAAGAGCAGTGAACAAAATAAAATTCTCATACTTTGTGGAAGTCAATTTAAGGAGCACAGATGAAGGAGTGGGTTAAATAAATAAGTAGACATGTCAGATGAGGATAAGTGCTAAGCGAAAATTTAATCAGAATAAGGGATGAGGAGGCTAATGAATTTGAAGAAGTGTCATTTTATCTAGGGTGGTCACAGAGAGCCTTTTTAATAAGGTGACATTTGAGCAAAGACCTAATAGCAAGCCATGTAGACATCAGAGGGAAGATTACTCCAGGTAGAGAAAAAAGCAACAGCAAAGGATGTAAAGCAGACACATGCTTGACCTGTTTAAGAACCAACCAGGAATTCACTCAATTGGAGTTGAGTAATCAAGGGATAGAGTAGAAAGAGATGAGGTTGGATGAGTGGCAGGTGGTCTAGATGAAGTGCCAGATCACAAGAGGCCATATTGGAAACCACTGTAGAAACAAATTAGAAGTTTATGGACTCATGGAAATGTTCTATGTCTGTGTTGTCCACTATGGTAGTCACTTACCACCTGTAGTTATGCAGCACTTAAAATGTGATTAGTTGTTACTGAGGAACTGAATTATAGAATTTTAGGTTTCATTTCATTTTAATCAATTTTAATTTCAACTTCAATAGCCAAATGTGGCTCCCATATTGGAAAACACAATATTAAGAGACTAATTTTCATTTTAATAAGGCACTCTGGCTATACAGATGAGAATTGACTCCAAGCACATAAGAGAAGAAGCAGAACAGTGAACTACTAAAGAGAAATGGTTGGACATTTTTTGTATCTTATGCTCCTAAATCCAATGGTATTTGGCAGCAGCTTGGATTTAGGGTATGAACAAATGAAAAGAATCAGTGGAAACTCCAGGGATTTTTGCCTAAACAAGGGGAAAGGCAGAATTGCTATCAATTCGCGATTGGAAGAATGAGGAAAGAACAGATTTAAATGTATTAACAGCCATCTGGTTTGGGAACTATAAAGTTGAGATACCTACTGGATATTCAGGAGGTGATATAAAGAAGGTAGTTGTTTGTGTTAGTCTGAAGATCAGAAGAGAGCTCCAAGAGTTTTTTTTAAAAAAAATGAAGTGGAAGGAAAGAGCACAGTAAATAAACGATAATTTACTCAAACCAAAGGGTAGCCTCATGTCCATACACCATTTATAAGACACTGCCTTGGACTGCCATTAACTAGGTTTGCTACAAATTTTGCACCCCAACTTTAGAAGACAGTTTAGCAATATCTGTTGTATTAATTGAAAATTTAACCCAGCATAGAAGCTAAGAGATAAATCATGTGGTTTAAGTTAACGTTCCTAGAGTTAATTCAACCTAAGAGATTATCCAAAACAGGAAATTGGAAATAGTAAATACTCTAGGTAATTGATATTCTACTAATGTTTCAGAAGGTAGAGAGATACTTGCAGGATTTGCTCTAAAAAGGTAAGACTGGATGAGGCAGAAAAAAAATTAAATTGTAGTTGAATTTAAAAAGGATTATGAAAATGTATTTTTAAATATTTCATACCAAAGATAGTAGACTGTCTTCTCAAAAGAGAAGCCCTCCTGTCATTATTATTTTTATTATTATTATTAAACCTGGTGGAGAGAAAAGAATCAAACACCAATTGCAGAAAATTTGCTGGTGTCAGTGCTGTGACTCAGTGCCACTTCTGAGCTTAGCAATTATACACTCTCTGACTGATGCATTATCATAATGGCTCTCAGTGGGCACAACATATGGTGTTACTTTTGCTTTCAACATGATATAAACCAGATTATTTTTTCCCTGTGTCTTAAAAATAACACACCATAATTTGCCTGCTTCCTTAGGAGAAGACAGAAAACTTGGAGAAATCCTTCTATGTCATCTCCCTTGACTAGATAGGCTGTCTTCAATTTGGCAGCTCTCTCAACTGAGACCTGACTATATTATCTGCAGAACCATGCCACCAGCATCAGTTTAGTTGGGGATACTCCTCATTTAAAACAAAATCCAAATCTTTAGTTCTTATTTCTTCTATTTTTTACCCCCAAATCAAATCTTTCATCTTCATAATCAGGAACCGATTCTAGTTATCACTAAGTGCATATTTACTGAGCTGGGTTAGTTGTATAACGAATGCTTAGGAACAGAGAAAAGTGTCTTTCCCCTCAAGCAACATGTATTCTAATAAACTGATCCATAAATGCAGTCATTTAATTCTGATTTCAATTTCTTTCTTTTCCCAATTAGTTTTATATGTTTACCCTTTATTGTTTTTATCTGGGCATTTCTCTCTCTCTCTCTCTCTCTCTCTCTCTCTCTCTCTCTCTCTCTCT